TATTGATGCATCTCTTCTTGATAAATATTCAGCTGTAGAAAACCCGGTTGGCATCATACTTCTACTGCATATGTCTAATTCACCGGCGGATAACAGAAGTACTCACAGTATAACAATAGTCATTTTTAATTGTGAATTGGGAGTCATAGGGATGCGAAGTAGTGTTCGAGTGTCTAGAAGGAAAAGTACATGTTTATCCTACGATTGAACTCAGTTCAGTTGTCTTTTGGTTTTCAAAAATGTTATGATTCTCGGTTCTCTTCCTTCATATATTATCCCCTTTAGCATGGTGTGTTTAGGAGTACAAAACCCTTTCTATATCCAAGAATTTTCATGACTTTTGTGATCCTACTGTAAATACTCTGGACACATGGGACTTATATGAGATTTGTCAGTGATAAATACTGTACACACCTTGCATGAATTTGTTTAGCTCATCTGCCAGCATCATTAATAAATGTGATAGTTTTTGTTGCATATAATTAGTATCCACAATGAAGTCAACCTGTAACATGAAACTTTGAATTTAGAGACTTTTGAATGTCTTTTACTAATTTGTTTATTTTCTCCATGCACCATAGGATACTATTCGTTTTGGGCATCTCGAGCTACTAAGGTGTATTTGAATATTCATTGTCCTCGCCTCTACCCTTTCTTAGATCGGTAACTTTTACACCACTATTTTTCCAATACCATTCCAGTTAGGCTTCAACGCCATTGTAACTTTATTTGTTAATTTTCACTATTCAATATAGGAATGGTGAAGTAAATCTAGGACCAATTGACATGATAGGAGACCTTTCTTATGAGCAAGCTGTGGGTACATTACAATTCACTTATGCTGAACAACTCAATCCGATGAGATTTGACTTCTCAAATATGGTAAACACTATCAATCATATCGATCAAAGTCTTTCTTTTATAAGTAGCATCTGTGATTCCAAGTTCTTATAGTTTTTTTCGTTTGCTCTAATAGGGAAATACATTTATGCTTGGTGGAAGTGTAAAGGATGTGACTATCTCATGTTCACTTGGTGCTCAATCAAGTATTGTTTATTTTACAATTGAGGATCCTAGCGCAACATTGGAAGTCATGTTCCCCACTGCTCAGCTGAGACAAATTGCTGGAGATGTCTTCACTACAGATAATCTTGATTGGGATGTCAACTTCAGGGCCATCCTCAACTCCATACATGGCAACCCCTATCATTTCATTGTTGAAGTTGGGGAGTGGAACGAAACAGCGAATCGCTGTGATTTAATGTTGCTGAAGTTGTTTGCTGTATAGGCCTTTTAGCTTGGTAACGGATGGTGGCCTCTTCTGCATCTTTGAGTGATTTACTTATGACTGTTAAACAGATGATTAGACTATTTCTTTTGGTCTTTTTTATAAAGTTAGTATGAGTGTGAAAGTCAGTTGTCCTACCAGGTTTGAAATGGATTTCTATGTAAATATTGATACGTTTTTCTATTTTTACAATTTACTAGCTTATTACCCGGCGACAAATCAATTGAGAAAGGAGAGCATAACCGAGCATCTGGACTCCCATAGAGATTTGAAGGGAGATGGATGTGCTAGAATGAAGACTGTATGTTGCTTTCATTTGACGGAGATAGAGATATGAGGAGAGGAGTTCCGAAGTCTCTGCGTACCGGTGGTCGGTGGCGCACGGTGCACTTGCAAAAGCTTGTATTTTTTTTTGGTTTGTGGGATGCTACCACTGATGGGGATGGAAGTTGCAGATTTGTGGCGTTCAGTGAGAGGAACGGCAAAAGAAAGAAGTGGAGTCGGGAGAGGAAAAGGGGATTTTGTTTTTCGAAGAGAGAGAGGGTTTTTGGACGCTGACGTGTATAACCGAGATTAGAGAGAGGCTGATGTGGCATAGGTCAGAATCTGGAAGTGCTTTAATATTTACTAGCTTATTACCCGGCTCGTTGGCCGGGTGTGATATCTGCGGTGGCATGTGTAATTGCCAGTAGTTGGTTGCTTGTTTTTGTTGTGCGTTCGAAATGCTCTTTGAAAGATATTGTAGGCAAATGTTGTTTTTGACATATCTTTTACTTGTACATTTTATACGACAAAATAACACAACTCAATATATATTTTCCTCATGACCGTACAAAACTTATTTATATTATAATATCAATGTTCGATCGAAAATCTTATTTATTAATTATAGTAGTGTAGTAGTTTGTTTCTCCATTTTAATAGAAAAAAAAATCAATATTTCAAGTATTTTTGTTTAAATTGCATGCATGGACCGACCTACCCGCACCCTAAGAGAAAAAAATCCAACCTGAACCGATAGGTTGGATATGGGCATCTAGTATTTACACAACACCAAGGTTGTGAAATAGATTTATACCATTATATTGTTTAGCAAGTGGTGTGGTTTGGCCGGGGTACAATGGGTTATATCGCTTCATGTCATTTTAACAAAATATGTAAAAAGTGTGAGGAATCATTAACATCAAATGATTTTAAGCATATATAAAATATATTTCAAGATATCTTCTTATAATCTACATCCATATTCAAATAAAATACAATATGTTTTTAAAAAATGAAAAATACTCATATTCAAATACATAATTTAATGTCAACTTCTAAGTGTTTATATTTGAATCCAACAAATAATATCAACATTTAACTTTCAAGTTTATTAAATAAATTATAAATAAACTCTTTGTTAATTAAATTGACTAAACGATGTTATTTTGTTTAGAGATTGAAAATCGATCATGATGATCATTTCAGGAATATTCCAGCCGACTTTATATCCGATACCGTAAGACCGATTCTACCGGACGGCATGCAGACCGTAATTGCTCTATAAATATATTAGGATAAGTTAGAACCTATATATGCAAAGTGAAATTTGAGACAACAGGAACCTTCATGTTATAGCCAACACTGATTAATGCAGCAGCAATCAACGAAGGCACAACATATCATATAACGATAGGGAAAAAACAGAAACAGAAGTGGGGGAGAGAAAGACAGCCAAAGTTTGATAACAGTAATTGATAACCCAAACAAACCCTAAAAAGAAAACTAAATCCAAATTCCATTTGTAAAAGTGGCAGTTGGTATTACCTCAAAAGGATGAAACCATACGTTAAGAACTTAGGATGCAAGTGTTGTGCGAAGTAGAAGCATGGATGAAACGCACGTTAGAGGGCTAGGTTGTTGAAAGTCTGGGGCGCAGTTACAGGAGCAAGGAAATGAATCAAAAACCAAAACATGAGAGATTGGGCAGGGCGAAATCAAGAAAGTGTGTTGGCCAAACCAACGTGGAATGTAATTGGAGAATGGGAAGAGAAAAAGGGTTTGGGAAGTGGAACATAGCCAAAGCATCAAACGAACCAATGAAACAATATCAAGCAGGGCATTGATTATGGAGGAAACTTATCTGGATAGGCAAAATCAACCGGAATGTGGGGATGGGTTGTGTCGATGGTGGTATAAGAAAGGCGATCATCAAGGAGGGAGAGTGGGATTTTTCTGGCTGCTAAAAGAAGATAGTCGAATAAGAAAAAGCATAGCGAAGTGGAGCCGTAGAGGGATCAGGGTCTTTTCCGAATGCAAGTAGTCAAGTAGATGATAGAACGGCTCTCTCAGTAAGGGTGAAGGAAGGGGAAAGTGTTAGTGTTGTGGTATATGATCCACGATTGAACCTCTTCCAACAACTCGAGTTATTGGGATCAACTGATTCTTGACATGGTATCAGAGCCTTCTGTGATCGAGAGGTCTTGTATTCGATTCCCAGTGACCCCAATTTGTTAAGCACATGGTATTCTTGTCTTCAGACCTGTGCAAACTTCAAGCCCTTGTGAGTGGCTTTCGTTTGAGGGGACGTGTTAGTGTTGTGGTGTATGATCCACGATTGAACCTCTCCCAACAACTCGAGTTATTGGGATTAACTGGTTCTTGACAGAAAGGAAATTGTCGCCGGCGGGGAATATTAAGGGTTTCGAATGAAGATAAGACAAAAGGGGGGGGGGGGGGGGGAGAAGCCGAGGGAAGGCAAAAATAGGTGGCTGACGTGGATGCCTTAAGATTTCAATAGGGATTACGTGTCATAGGTGCAAATCTAAAAGACCTTTAATATACTAGCTTTGACCCTGCCCTTTGGGCAGGTAATCTATATTTTATAATAATTTTTTAATTTTCACTAATTAGATGATATTATGATATAATTTTTGTCCTTGATTATAACTAAGGATTGTAGAACTGTGTCGGAGGTTGTACCAAAAAAGTTAACAATTTGATATTTTATGTTAACATAATGACTTAATCATGGTTCACCTATTTCATACTGCTAAATAACGCCTATCGATCTAGCATCTGCTATGAAGTTTATCTGATCGAACCGTCAGTACTGAATTATAACATAGTTTTTCTTTAGAACATTGTGAAGAAGATTCCAACCATTCATTCCATTGAATTTAGGGATGAAAGAATGACCTCTTCATAATTTATGAACATAGTTTAAAGAGTTTTTATAATCATATTTTTGTTACGAAAAATTCAAGTGGTTCATGCTTTTATAGCATTATACTACAAAACAGGTACAAACAATAATAATAAAATTTTAATTGTTTCTAATAAGTTAACAAAGAACCGGAGAGGGGCTTTTAAAGAATTCATCCAAAAAAATGACATCTTCTTTTTGAAAGTAAGAAATTAACCTCTTGAATTCCAAATGGGCAGATTTTTTAATATAAAAATATTCTAAAGTAAAGGAAAAAATAACCACCGAAAAAAAAAGATAACCACCGTTCGTTAGAAAAAAAAAAAGATAACCAACACAATCTGACGTGGATCAAGCAAAATGCAGGAGAACTTACGTGGCGATGGCCATTTTCTCAAAATGCTTTAATATATTTTAAGATAAGATTAAGATTTTAAGATTGTGATGGGCCGTTATGTCCGAGGCCAAAGAACATAAACAGGGGAGAAGATTTTTGCCGTCATTCTAAGGATAAACACAGTACCCACGATCAGCGACTTTTGAATTTGATGTTCGAACCTGATTCCCAATTCACGAACTCATCTTGGAAAATAGGGTTCGCCGGAAACCAAGTCGGCGGGCGGTCGCAGCCTTTCCTATTAAGCACATCTCTCAATGCATTCCAGATATCTTACCCAATTGCAGAGCTTGCCGAGTGCAGTCAGTACACTTACGTAGCCGGTCGGTTATGGAGAGATGATGGTAGTGCAGGGAAGAGGAGACTGACAACGAGAGACCGGTAGCTAGCTGGAACTGGAAGAAGCCCCAGCATCATCAGTTGGTTGATTGATCCACGAGCAGTGCAGCTAGTCCCTTGCCATATCTGGCAGCCGATTTGGCCAAATACCTCGCTCTCATCCTTTTCCCCATTTCCAGGTACCGCAACTCCTCCAGCTCATCAAGTCCGTCGAGCTCGATCAGTTTTGTGCAGCCCACAATATCAAACATTCGTAGCTTCTTCAGAGCAGACAGATTTCCCAACTCCGTTATCGACCTGCAGTTAAACAGGTTCAGCTCCATTAACGACTCCAAACCCTCGACTCCCTCGACCTCGGTCAGCTCTGTGCATCCCACAAGCTCCAAAGTCTCCAAATTCTTGAGGCTCGATAAGTTCGGCAGCTTCCTAACTGAACAACAGCGCCTCATCCGTAGCTTCCGCAGCGACTCCAATCTATCGACCCCAATGAGATCAGTCAAGCTTTGGCCGTCACTGAGGTTCAATTCCTTGAGATTCTTGAGCTCCGAAAGATCAAATAGCTGTCGAATCGAAGTGCAACTCTCCACAGTCAGCCATTCTAACGACACCAACCTCCCCAACCCTGTAACCTCCGTCAACTCTGGACACGAGCGGATGTACAGCCGTTTCAGATTGACGAGACAGGGGAGATCAAGAGATGGTTTCCCGCCAGACGATTGTTCGTACAAAGTCAATTCCTCCAATGCTCCCAGAAGTTGAAGTAGTCCATCCAAGTTTGCCAAGCTGGGACATTTTTTGATTGTCAGGCGGGACAAACACTCCCCGAGGCCGCCCATGCCAGGGATTTCAACGACATTCGGACAGTAGCAAACCTCCAGATCCTTCAACTTGCTCAAATTCGCCAGGCTCGGCAGTCTCTCCAGCGTGGCGTACCACAAGCTCAGGGTGGTGAGGAGGTGCAGATTCTCAAGTCCATTCAGGCTGTTCAGATTCATGGATCTGATCGCCATAGTCTCCAGGGCCCTCAGCTCTCCCAGGCCCCGAATCTCGGCCACCCTGACACCCCGGAGTTCGAGTCGGGTCAGATTGCACAGATTCGCTAGGCTGGGAAGTTCATTCAATTCCCAGCAATCAACGACATGAAGGCTGGTTAAAGATGTCGGCAGAGCAGAAGCAAGAGAAGTTGTTGTTGTTGCCTCCTGGTCCTTTTGCAGCATTGGACCTCTGATAGGACAGAGGTTCAGAGTCAATTCCTTCAAATTGGGAAGCCGCCATAAGTCTCCGGGGATAGATGGATCGTTAGAGTAACTCAGGTATTCCAACTGCTTGAGCTCTATCAGATTTGGGACGCCTGATGAAGACGAGATGGATAACCTCTTTAAACTCCCCGGAAGTCTGGGTATCTCCATCCGGTATTCCACCCCCCACTGTGCTAAACCTAGCGACAAGATTTTGAGAGAGGACAAGTTCTCCATCCCGTCAGGCAATTCTCTCAAATCGGTCCCGCTCACGTCCATCTCCTCTAGCTGCTGAAGCTTTTCAATGTCACCACCCTTGATGACTAACTCTGTTGTGCGGGTTTTTCCGAGTCTCAGCGTTTTCAGATTCTTGAATATACCAATGTGCATCTGTCCTTTCATTTGGAAACAACCTGAAAAGTTGATAAACTCAAGGCTTGTGCATGTAGACAAGTCAGGAGATTTCATCAGCTTCCGGCATTGGGGTAGATTTACTGCTTTTAGCTTTGCTGCTGCAGCCTGTGGATCGTAAGAAATAGCTAGTTAGTTGCTGCAAGTGGTAAGGTTCCGATCCAAAGTTTGTTGTGCATACACTATGGAAGTTTTGTTTGTCAGTTATGTTATGATGTAAAAGACAAAGAGATAAATGGATTATACCTTTATTCGACTCCAGCCCTTCCAGTCATCCTTCACAGTGGAACCCTCTAAATCAAGTACCGCCAATTTCTTCGCATTAATATCAGTTGGGATAGATTCGCAGTGACACAATCGAAGGCAACATAAATTTGGAAGAACCTGGCTGAAATCCCCCCTCATGTGTCCATATCGAACCTCCAAATATCTCAACCCTGACAATTTCTCGAAGTTTTTGCTTTTAAGCAGCTTGTCATGATCATCTCTAGATTCCACATCTATCCGGACAACTTCCACCTGTTCACTTCCCTGTTTAAAACGTACATGAAAATAAACTAGTTATTGCACTTGAGCATATACAAATATCATATAATACCGGTGTGAAAGATCACCAAACCATTGATGAAAAAAATTTACCTTTCTGTTCCTCAATATGTTCAGGACATCGTCGATTGACCATATCCTGCTACGATTGTATGGATGTCGAATGTCTTCCTCATTAACAATGGCTCTCCCTAGATCTTTGATGTGATCGTGCATCCAAAACTTGTTTTCTTCGTCAAGTTTTATCAGAGATCTGTGGATAAGGGTGTTGATTCCACTTTCTGGATAAAAATCACAGCTACTCCACATGTAGTAAGGTAAATCTTTGTGGCTACCGATAAAAAAACAAGCAATGTCAAGAAAGATTTGCTTTTCATTGTGCGACAAGTCATTGTAGCTGATCTTCAATCTCTCTTGCACCATATTTTCAGTAGTAGAAGGTAAGCCTTGTAATTCTACCAACTTTTCTTTCCAAAATTTCTTGTCTCTGCGAAACAAAAGTGATCCTATCACCTTGAGAGCTAAAGGAAGTCCACCAGCAACTTTTACAAATTCCTCGGATATACCAGCGTCTTCCAAGGGTGGATTGTCCATCCCAAAAGCATGCTTGCAAAAAAGTTGCAGAGAAAGACGACGACTCATTTCTCCCGGTTCATACAATTTACATTCCGGAATAAAATCTAAAGCCCTCTTATTCCTAGTCGTAAATATAAATCGACAATCAGAGGAAAAATCACCTAATTTTCCTAGAACCTTATCAAATTCAAACCTGTCATCTATATCGTCAATAACGAGAAGCATTTTATGCTTGCAAACTCGGTCTTTTATCACGTTAATTCCTTCGCTTACACTTTTAACCTGATGATGATCGCCTTTCAAAATGGCAGATATAACCTTATTCTGCAGAGATACAACTCCGCCGCTCTTTGCTAGAGTTTCTCGCAAATCTTCGAGATAACAGCAGCGATCAAATCGAGCGCATATCCTGTTATTCCGGTGATTACTACTCCAGCGCCGCCGCTGCTCTCATCATGGATCGAGGTAGGTTTCCCCGATCTATTATCGATTCGTGAAATCATCTAATTCTAAGATCCATGCTATTATGATTTATGTTTACATGTGGTATTAGAGCAATATGTTTACATGAATAGATGATTTTCGTTTACGTATTTTATTTCCGCTGCATCTATGCGCCAAGCTCTGCGTATGAGAGCCATTATGCTTCGGTTGTGATTATTAAGTCTTCAAGTGCCTCATGTTAATTCGTCGTTGCTGTAGGGTTTCCCATCTTCCTTTTCCTTTAATTTGTACCTTTTATTGATTAAGCTACTGTTTGTCAAATTCAGATTCATTTGCTTTGTCGTTTATTTCCACATCTTGCTTATGTGGGTGCAATTATGCTTGATCAAATTCCATTAGTTCTTTCCTGTTGCTATCTATTGGCTTCGGCTATAATATGTTTGAGTTTCCTTGATAATGAATTTGATCAGTAGGCTTAATGGTTGATCAGTTAAGCAATTATTATAATAGTAACCTATTAATGAGTCAAAGTTTTGCGTATGTGTTTTGAGAATTATGATTAACCATTGCTTTGACTTGAGTTAAATTTTATTTTTTATATCTATGTTATGATTAATTTGTTACACCAAAGTGGCCAAATTAGAAGGTTTATAGATATCAAGTTGAATCAAGTTCAACTACTAATGTTTATGTGATGCTTTAAAGTTGAAGTTCGTGATTATAAAATATTTTCGAATCGCCCAAAGGCTGATTGCTCGTTTTATAATTCATGAACATTATTGTGGTAAATTGATGTGCTTGGTTAGATATATTTAGTATATCCAAAGATTGCAAGTATATCTAATTTGAGTATGTCTATCACCAATTATATGATTATTTTGAGCATCAATTACGATTATTTATCGCATATATATTGTTGTTTTGCCCAAAGGTAGCACCAATATATGTTTTATGTTTATGCTTACGAATCTATATTATGGTTTATGCTTATTCCCCAAGGCATTAATGTGTGAGTACATGTTATATATGCTTGCAGCATCTGTTCCTGTTTCTCTTCATTCGCAAGCCACGTCCGTTGTTAAGTTTAATGGCCTCAACTTCTCTGAATGGGCTGAACAGGTTCAGTTTCACCTCGGTGTTCTGGATCTTGATTTGGCACTCTTAAATGAGAAACCTGCTGCTCTTACTGATGCTAGCAGTGCTGAGGAAAAGTCTTTCCATAAAGCTTGGGAAAGATCTAACAGACTAAGCCTAATGTTTATGCGAATGACTGTAGCAAACAACATTAAGTCAACTTTCAATGATACTGCAAGTGCTAAAGAATTTATGAATTCCGTGAAAGAAAGCTCTCAATCTGAGTCTGCTGATAAGTCGCTTGCTGGGACACTGATGGGTACGCTACCATGCATGAGCATATCGTCGAAATGACAAACATTGCAGCAAAACTAAAGACCATGGGAATGGAAGTGAATGAAAATTTCCTAGTAACATTCATCCTTAATTCCTTACCTCCAGAGTATGGCACATTCCATGTGCATTACAATACTCTAAAGGATAAATGGAATGTGCATGAGTTACAAAGCATGCTCATTCAAGAGGAAGCAATGCTTAAGAGACCGGGAAATCACTCTACCAATCTTGTTGGTCATAAAGGAGCTGGAAAGAAACCATGGAACAAGAATGAGAATGGCCAGGAAGGACTATCAAAGCTTAATGAGTCATCTGCCAAAATCCACAAGAAGGAACCAAGAAAGGATATATGTCGCTTCTGTAAGAAAGCCGGACATTATCAGAAAGATTGCTTGAAGAGAAAGGCATGGTTCGAAAGAAAGGGTAAGCCTAGTGCTTCAGTATGTTTCGAATCAAATTTAACTTAGGTTCCTTATAATACTTGGTGGATTGACACTAGTTGTACCATTCATGTTTCCAAAACAATGCAGGGATTCCTTACGACCCAAACCATAAGGCAAAATGAGAAGTTCATCTATATGGGAAACCGAGCCAAAGTTCTAGTTGAAGCTATTGGGACTTATCGTTTGGTTTTAGATACTGTTCATCATTTGGACCTTGTCAATACCCTTTATGCTCCTTCTATTTCTCATAATTTGGTTTCGGTGTCTCAACTAGATAAGGCTGGGTATTGTTGGAACATTGGAAATGGTTCTATTAGTTTGTTCAAACAGAATGTTTTATTGGGTTCTGGTACCCTTGTTGATGGTTTGTACAAACTAAAGCTTGATACCCTATTCGCTGAGACTCTCTTAACCTTGCATCATAATGTTGGTATTAAACGTGGTTTGTTTGATGAATCCTCTGCTTACTTGTGGCATAAACGTTTGGGTCACATATCCAAATAAAGAATGGAAAGGTTAGTAAAGAATGAGATCCTTCCTCGTTTGGATTTTACTGACCTTGGAATTTGTGTTGAGTGTATTAAAGGAAAACACACAAAACACACACTTAAGAAAGCAGCCACAAGAAGCTCACAGCTCCTTGAAATTATACACACTGATATTTGTGGGCCTTTTGATGTTCCATCACTTGGTGGAGAAAAGTATTTCATTACCTTTATCGATGATTTTTCACGTTATGGATATATCTATTTGCTACATGAAAAATCTCAGTCGGTAGATACCCTTGAGGTGTTTATCAATGAAGTTGAGAGGCAATTAGAAAGAAAGGTGAAAATTGTCAGATCTGATAGAGGTGGAGAATATTATGGAAAATATGATGAAAGTGGACAATGCCCTGGTCCATTTGCTAAGTTCCTAGAAAGACGTGGTATTTGTGCTCAATACACTATGCCAGGAACACCGCAACAAAATGGTGTTGCAGAAAGGCGTAATCATACTTTAATGGATATGGTTAGGAGCATGTTAAGCAACTCATCTTTACCCAAATCATTGTGGATGCACGCTTTAAGGACCGCTGTGTATTTGTTAAACAGGGTTCCTAGTAAAGCAGTTCCTAAGACACCTTTTGAACTGTGGACGGGAAGGAAACCCAGTTTAAGGCACCTTCATGTTTGGGGTTGCCCAGCGGAAGTGAGAATATATAATCCACATGAAAAGAAACTGGACTCACGAACAATCAGTGGTTTCTTCATTGGTTATCCAGAAAAATCTAAGGGGTATCGATTTTATTGCCCTAACCATAGTACAAGAATTGTTGAAACTGGAAATGCTAGGTTCATTGAGAATGGTGAAGTTAGTGGGAGCTTGGAGCCACGCAATGTGGAAATTCAAGAAGTTAGAGTGCAAATATCCTTGCCTCTACCCTCTTCTCAAGTTGTTGCTCCTGCACATGTTGAGCATGATAACGATTTGCAGGAACAACAAATGAACGGTCAAGCACCACCTAATATTGCTATTGAGAATGAACCTAACATAGATGAACCACAAGAAATCGCATTAAGAAGGTCTACAAGAAATCGAAGGCCTGCAATTTCTGATGATTATGAGGTTTATCTTCACGAGTTAGAATCTGATTTAGGACTCTATCATGATCCAGTTTCATTTTCACAAGCCATGGAAAGTGAGCATTCTGATATATGGTTAGCTGTCGCGAAAGAAGAGATGAAATCTATGTATAAAAATGAAGTTTGGGACCTTGTTGATTTGCCTGAAGATTGTAAAAGAGTTGGTAATAGATGGGCCTGGAAGACCAAACACGACTCTAATGGCAATATCGAAAGACACAGGGCCAGACTTGTTGCCAAAGGTTTCACTCAGAAAAGTGGTGTTGACTATAAAGAGACATTTTCACCCGTCTCTAAGAAAGACTCCTTAAGGATTGTCATGGCAATGGTAGCTCATTATAATCTAGAGCTCCATCAGATGGATGTGAAAACCGCCTTTCTGAATGGGAATTTAGATGAAGCAGTCTATATGGATCAACCTGAAGGTTTTGTGGTTGAGGGAAAAGAACATATGGTGTGTAAATTAAAGAAGTCAATATACGGACTTAAACAAGCTTCCCGACAATGGTATATTAAGTTCAATGATACCATTACATCTTTTGGATTTAAGGAGAACATCGTCGATCGATGTATATATCTGAAGATTAGTGGGAGTAAGTTTATAATTTTAGTTCTGTATGTTGACGATATCTTGCTTGCTACTAATGATCTTGGTTTATTACATCAAACAAAGAAGTTTCTCTCTAAGAACTTTGAAATGAAGGATTCGGGTGAGGCATCCTATGTCATTGGAATAGAAATATTTTGTGATAGATCACAAGGACTGTTGGGATTCTCATAAATCATACATTAACCGGATCCTAGAGAGATACAACATGGCTGAATGCTCTGCAAATGTCGTTCCAATTCAGAAGGGAGATAAATTTAGTCTCAAACAATGTCCAATGAATGAATTGGAACGCAAGCAAATGGAACACATTCCTTATGAATCTATTGTTGGAAGTTTGAATTATGAACAAACTTGTACCAGACCACACATCAGTTTTGCTGTCGGAATGCTGGGCAGGTATCAAAGTAATCCAGGAGTAGATCATTGGAAAGCTGCAAAGAAGGTACTAAGCAATGCAGTCAAAATCGCGTTTTAAAACTTAAAAACTTACGATTTTACGCTTTTAGGTCACCAAAACGCTTTCGTTTCCATATAAAAACTTAAGCGTATAAAATCGGACTAAATTGCGCTTAAAAGCTTACGCTTTTACGCTTCTAGTTCACCAAAACGCTTTACGTTTTTACGCTTTTAGTTCACTAAATGGGTATTCTTTTCATGAAATTAATTATAAAAAGTAAAATTTAAAAGTAAATCACCAACAATATGATGCATTTGAGATGAAAAGATACATACCAAGTACTTGGATGCATTCTCAATTTCAATAGAGTAATCTAATTCACCAGCTAGACTCTTATTATTATGTTAAATTTTATGTTTACGAACTTATTATTAAGATGCTATAAGTTGCTCTGCTTTAGACATGAATTGCATGTATTTATTAAC